CCCTTCTCTTCTAGGTCAAAAAAAAAAAAAGGCTTCTGGGAGAGGCCTGGGAGCCACCTCACCCAGGGGGAGCAGATGCAGGGGGTTCCAAGGTCCCTCCCCTAGTCCAGCAGAAAACCGGGACAGAACAGTGGGGAACCTCTCACTGCAGCTCTGGAGGAGACTGGGGATGGCCAGGGCCTGGGAAAGGGAGAAGTTGGGCAGGGGGTCCTGCTGGGGGCAGGATATGACTATGGCCTGGGAAAAAGCCAAAGCAGCTGTCCAACCACCAACCCCCTGGTGACCTTCTTCCCTGGCTATGCCTAGGGCACCCCTGTCCTACTCTTTATCAGGGAGCAGGCCCACAACAGCGAGGCCTCGCTCAGAGAAGGGGAGATTCTCCTGCCCCACCAGGCAGGCCGCTGCTCTGACCTGGTACACGGGGTCGGTGTGTGTGTCGTCTGTCAGGCCCGTGCACCAGAGCAGTGGGTCCTCAGGACGGCTTATGTCCCACACCAGCACCTCGCCACTGTACAGCCCACCTGCAGGACCAAGCGGGCCTGGGCAGGAAGCCCAGCTTCCGGGCCAAGCACCCACCCCTCCAACCCACTGAGCCAGGGCATCGGGCCACTTTCCCAAAAACCACCCTAAGGAGGAAACATCCTAGTCCCCAGGCCCCATGCTCTTCTCTGCTGTGCTGCACCCCAGGGAGCCTCTCCTGCTGCCAGGATGCTCTTCCCTGCCCAGCACCACGCCATTCCCTCCACCTGCCCCCTTTCCCAACATGCACAGCTCCCATCACTACTGACAGCTCCCATCACTACTGACAGCTCCCAAAGGGTGCCTGCTTCATCCTGCCTCTTGTCCCGACCTCTGCCTCTTGTCCTCCCACAAGACTCAGCTAAGGACCTGCCTCCTCTTCTTTTGAGCTCTGTGCCCAGCACAGACACACTCAGCATCTTCACTTGGGCCCAAGGGTCAGGGCCACCTGTTGTCTCTGCCTCCCGCATAGCCTTGGCCATGCCCAGGCGCTGAGGGCTCAATGGCAGGCTCCCCTTGCCCACCCTCTGCAGGGTGGGAAGCAGAGGCGAGGTAACCCAGTCGGCTCACCTGCAACATGGGAGGGCTGTGTGGGGTGGAAGGCCAGGCACATGACAGCACTGGGCACCTCCACCACCGCTGATGGCTGCTGGGGGTTCAGGCCTCGCCGGTCCAGGTTCCAGGCGCACACAAAGGACTTCAGCATGCTCCAGTCCCCGTCGTCCAGTCTGCAGAGAACGTGCCTGAGCTAGCTCTGCCCCTAGGCCAGGATTTCCTCCCGGCCACCCCATTCCCCAACCCACCTCACCCCCAACTCCCTCAAACAGATCCGCCTCCGTGTCCCCATCACACCCAGACCCTGTACTGGGTATCAGTGGCAGAGGCTCCTCCACGGCACCCCCAGCACATGAGTTTCCCTGGAAAAGGGTCTCCAGGAACCAAGAGTTGGGGAACCTGGTCATATCAGGAGACAGATCTAGACAAGGCAGGCCCAGGGCTCCCTGCCCAGTGCTGGCCAGGGGGCACTGGGAGTCCTGGGCTCTGAGCCCTTCCCTTCCCTGTTCTTCTCCTGCCAACCCAATGCCGAGGCAGCCTTGAGAAGGAAGACTCCCAGAAAGGCCAAGCACGGGGCCAACCCCTCCCTGCGCACACAGGGAGACAGAGGCTCAGACGTGGCTCTCAGAGCCTCCAGCCGCCCTGCACCACCCCACCCTGCCACCACTCACCGGCCATAGGCACAGGCCACCACGGACCCGGTGCTGTTCCAGGAGACGCTGGTCACATGCAGACCCTGCCCTTGGGCTGGGGGGTAGCCCAGGGTGTGCAGGCAGGTCACCTGCAAGAGACAGGCCATCCCTAACCCTGAGCCCCAAAGCCACCCAGCAGATGGCCTCACGGCCACCTAACAAAAACCACCCACAGGCTTGTGCCTCCCAAAAGACTCCCTGTAAGTGATTCAAGTCCACCGCCCAGCCCTGGAGAGAAGTGTGGAGGCTTCGTCCCAACACCTCCCCTACCAGGATGCTTCCAGAAACGCAGACGGAAGGGCCCTGTGAACCAAGACAGACATCAGGCTCCAGATCAAAGCTGGACCCTCACTCACATCTCTTCTACACATGGCTTCAAAAGCTCTGGCTTCTGGAGCTGGACGGTGGCGATGGCTGCACAACAATGTGAATGTACTCAATGCCACATGACTGTCCAGTTAAAAACAGGTAAAATGGAAAATTCTGCTACGTGTATTTACACACACACACAAAATTTTTTTAAAGCTCTGGCTCCTGGTTTCTCCGCCTACAGCAGGCCAGCAACAGCTAATGAGAAAGCGGCAGCGCCACCAGGGCGAGGAATCGGCGCACTTTCCGGGAGTAATTTGCACCCCAGACCAAAACTCCTGTGAGAAGTTTCACACTTCTTGACGTCGTAACTCCATGTAAAGAACCCATCCACAAAAAACAAAGCGTAAATACAGGACAGAAATAGACTCACAGACAGAGAATACAGACTTGTGGCTGCCAGGGGGGTGGAGGGTGAGAA